GGCGTTTATGATGCATTACCTAATGCAAAATCTGTCGTAGTATGTGCTTTGTGTCGAGTGTTTGTAGAGGATGCTGTCATTGCCTCTTTCTGAACCTTGTATACGTACTGAGAGAAAATTCTAGTGCTACTTAGAAGTTTATATAATGTTGTTACTGGTATTGTTGGTTCTCTTAATCTAATCTTTGCTTATTTAGGTTGAACATTGTTTCACAGATTCATCTGAGTTGATTTTCTGATACTTGAAAAAATATTTTATAGGTTTAGTCCTGATCCAGATACATCAATGGGCTTAGTGCAGCATGAAGGTGGGCCCTGTGGTGTGCTAGCAGCAATACAGGTAATACTTTGGTTCTCTCTTGTTTCTTCTTTAATAGGAAAAATACATACGTCCACCCTAAACTTGTCTAAAAAACTCAGTTACATACTTAAACTTTGTGGACATCTTTTTACCCTCTTATTCTTGACCAAGGTGTATTAATTATCCCCCTCAGAGGTTGAACGAGCGTTGCTGGTAAAAAAAACAAGTTAAAAATGAATTAAATTGCACAAATGTCATTTTTAATAGGATAAAAATTTTAAGTTTTTGTTAAATCTTTTCTTTTTATTTTTTATTCTTTTGTTTTTCTTCTCTTTCTCTTTCTTCCTTTTCTTCTTCCCTACAATTACATACAAAAGGACCCAACTTTATGAACCAACAGGCAGCAGTTTAGGATGGAACTTATGTCTTTACCCTTAGGAACAAAATCACAAATCAAAGTTTCTTTGATAAAGATGAACTGATTGTCATTTACTCTGGTTTATTTTTCTGCAGTGGACAGATAGGTTTCAACTTTTTTGAATTTTCTTGTGTTAATCACTTAATCTCATAGCTATTTTCTGCAGCAGATAGATAGTTTTGGACTTGCTTTGAATTCTTTTATGTTAATCTCACAGCTACTTCTAGTGGTCAAGAATGAAACTTGTCCCTGTTGTACAGTAAATTTAAGTATTTGATAGAAGTTAGAAATTGAGATGGTTTTACAGCCACATGTATTGGATACAAATGTCAGTATTAATTAGGAAAAGTTGCAGTGCAAGTATGCATAAATTTCTTGTACATTCATGGGCATCTTCTGTCACTTCCAATAAATAACCAGGTACCATTTTGTTCTGCTGGATGGCGAAGTATTTGGCTTCTTACTCTTTAGATCTTTATTTTGTTCGCTCTATGTAATTGCGCACCATACTTTCATTTTACTTGATTCTACATTCATCGTACTCCCTGTTTGACTTTAGCATCTTTTGGACTCAATTTAACTGCACATAGTGTTCCATCTCTTTTTGACAAAGGTTCCATGATTCTGCAGGCTTTTGTTCTGAAATACTTATTGTTTTTCCCGGAGGAATTAAATATTGTTTCACCTAGCTTGTCCGCCAATGTGGGTTTGAGAAGATTGGCTGACAAAGAATCTGCTGGAGCTGATATTTTTTCATCTCTAAGTGAAGAGAAAAAATCAAGGTTGATATTGTGAATCTTGTTGCTATGTGGGCATATTTTATTGGGTTTTAAAGCGGATTACTGAATTTATGTCTCATTGAGACCGTTTTATATATTTAACTGCTACAAGGCTCATATATTCCTGGGATATATTTATTGCACATCACACATGTTCTCCTTTTTTTTTTTTTTTTTTTTTTTTTTGAGAATGGTAACAATTTATTCATCAGCACAAAAATATGTGCTGCTGGTCAAATTTACAAAAAGATACCAGGGAGTTTAATATGTCTTTTTAAAGGACTCTAAACACTGTAATATTGACTCTGTTTCAACTACAAAACTTCACATCACACTTGTTTTTTTTATGTGAATACTACCTTTCATGAGTGAGAAAAAACAAAGTAATCCCCTACCCCAAAGGGACAATTGCTGACTGCAGTTGGTGGTCCTTTTCATTTTCTCCTGATTGTTAGTTGTCCGATTGAACTATCTCTTCGTGAAGTAACTGGAGTACTTTTATGTAAATGCTCCTGGGAAAATTTTGATATTTTTAGACAAATCCTGAATAACTTTTTTCTTTTACTTTTTTTTGATCTGGAACAGAGCATTGGTCAGAGGCATGGGTGAGATATTGTTTATGTGCGGAAGCAATAGAAGGGTTGTGATAGCATCTTTGAGAATACTTGATGGTAACCTTGAGGAGTCTGAGGGGCGTTCGAGTGATGAGGTAAGCCACTAGATGTCTGCTAGGAATTTGTTTTCCATGTACTTGTTAAAAAAAATGAATTTGTTTTCCATGTTGCTCCTTTTTGTGCTCCTCCTGTCCAATTTCATTGTTTGGGGAATCAAGCAATTTTTATTTGGGTACACATTTTTCGTACTTCTAAAATATATTTAATTATAAGAAAATTGTGATATATAATACAATTTTTATCTTATTCTAAATATGTACAACCGAGGGTCTTTCGGAAACAGCCTCTTTACCCCCTTGGAGTAGGGGTAAGGTCTGCGTACACACTACCCTCTCCAGACTTCACTAATGGGATTTAACTGGGTCATTGTTGTTGTTGTTATATAAAAAAGTAGAGGAATGCATTCCGAATCTGTTTTTACATGTCCTTTTTTGTTTTCTTTTTCCTTTTTTTTTTTTGGATAAGAGATTTTCAGTTGTACCTTATGGATGTAATACTTAATCAAGAACATGTGCATGTGAAGGTGCTTGCATTTAATAAGTCTATCTATATTGGTGAATGACTAATGTTTGATTTTAATAGGTTGCTGTGTTTTGTTATACAGGTCATTTCTAAAGCACTTGAAGGTCTCTCACTTGAATCCGGGGCTAACTTGCAAAAGGTTTTAATCATTAACACATATACATCATCAATAGATGCTCTTCAAAGGCTTGAAGCACTGCTCCCTGTATTCCGAAGTCGTATGGGAGCAATGCTGTTCCTAATATCAGCTCTGCTTTCTCGTGGAATGGTAACTTCTTTTTTATTTTTTCACTTATGTGTATGTGTTGTGTGAGGGTAGGGGTTTCCGCTCCCCATTTTTGCTACAACATAGAAGAAGAGTAGGCTGTTTCGTTAGGATCGGTCCTAGTTCAAACAAGATGAGAGTAAGACATTTACAAAAATAAAAGTGAACGGTGGATTCGTGGAAACACTTTTAATCTTCTCCAAAATGATTAAGAGAAAGGATCATTGACAATAGCATATATCTTGTAGTGTATTAGTCCTTTAACGGATATCTCTCTCTCTCTCTGTACAGGACTCTGTTCAAGCTGATAGGGATGATCCTTCTCAACCTTTGGTTACAGCACCTTTTGGACATGCTTCACAGGTATCCCGAGATTAATAAAAGGCTAAGTTTTGGTGAATATATTGTATGCTCTTCTGTTTTGTGCCAATTATAGACTTAGGTACTGGTTAGACTATGTTATATTTTATCTTTCCTGGAACAGGAAATTGTGAACCTATTGCTTTCTGGGGAAGCAGTTGCCAATGTGTTTGATGGGAGGATGGATTTGGGTGGTGGCATGTTTGTGAAGGGTATCTCCACAACGGTGGAAGTTGGGTTTCTTACTCTGCTAGAGTCCCTAAACTTTTGCAAAGTTGGCCTGCATTTGAAGTGCCCGAAATGGCCAATATGGGTTGTTGGCAGCGAATCTCATTACACTGTCTTATTTGCTCTTGATACGAAAGTTCAGGAGGAGAATGAACTTGAAGGCCGGGAAACAAAGATCCGCAGAGCTTTTGATGCACAAGATCAGAGTGGAGGTGGTGGATTCATTAGCGTGGAAGGTTTTCATCAAGTCCTTAGGGAGACTAATGTCAGTCTTCCCGCCGATAAGCTTCAAAACCTCTGCAGCAGTGGATATATTGTATGGAGCGAATTCTGGCAGGTTCTGTTAGACTTGGACAAGAGTATGGGAGGACTAAAAGATCCTAGTGGATTAATGGGGAAAAAGGTCTTTGATCTTTACCACTTCAATGGGATTGCAAAATCGGTTATGAATGGGAACCAGGTTTCATCTGTAAATGATTTTCCAGTACAAAGGCCTAGACTCACTAAGTTGAGGGTTTCAGTTCCCCCAAGGTGGACGCCGGAGGAGTTCATGTCTTCAGGCCCTGGTACAAGTGATCCTACTGCAGGTAAGGATTCTGTTACTGAAGTTTCAAAACCGGAACCTTCTCAGCATGCTCCTTTGGTTGACTGTATCCGGACACGCTGGTCCCGAGCCACATGTACTTGGGAAGGTGATGCACCAAGCATAGTTTGATTGGTATTATAGTTGATATAGTCTGAAACAGCCACCTTGTTTTCTGGGGATTATGACGTAGAGCAGGAGTCAATTGAAGTGTAATGCGACGCTCACAGCTTTCTGGGCAGGAAGATTTTTGTCATGGCAGTTTTCGTCCGTGAACACAAGGCAATACCATTTTCAACTGTGTGATATTGTAACTTTTAAGATTCTAGTTTGATTTGGAGAAGTCCAATTCTGAGGGTAAGAGAGGCAGTACTGTTATTTGAACTTCGGTCATTAATTTATTCACCTTGTGCTGTTGAATAGGTATTCCCCCCTTTTTTCTCTGAAGGGATATCAATAAGCATCAGTCTGGTCATTAATTGTTGTTGTTAACTGTAGAAAGCCTCTCATCTTTGCGGTTGATTAGGGAATATCTTATTCAAAGAAGTGTGTGTCTCAAATAACATGTTGTCTATTATATTTATTAATGGATGGAATTCTTTAAACCTCTCTGCTTATGACTTTGGTCCTCAAATGATGACTGAATGCTACGATTTATATTTTACCTACATGTGGGTTGGCAAGGAAGGCAACGAAGATAAACAACTATCTCTGACTTCCTTCCAATCACATGTTTTTTTCTCTAAACCTTTTTCACTTGAACATTAATGTGTTAATTTAAGGCATATCTCTAGATTGTTCTTGTTAATACTGCACGTTATTTTTCATGTATAATCAAACAAAAATGAACAGACTCATCTCCTTGGAAATCTATAACCAAACAACATGACAATGAAACTCACTAAAAGAGTAATCCAGTGTTAGTTAGATGAGAACCAAAATTCCCCGGATTAAAGATCATGAAGTCAATGAACATGTGGAGAAAGCAAACTGAGGTCTCTGGAAAAGAAACCTTACAAAGACCAAAGACATTCCATGACAAGTCAGAATTTGGAAAATTTTACAAGATGTCATCTAAGAACAAAAAACACGCCATGATGAATACTGGAATGCTGCTCCATTAATGGTATTCTCTGCTCTGAGTAATCCGGAATGGATAGCTACTCCACAATTTTTCCAAGCATCCACAGAAAGTCACACTCAGCTGAAAGACTGTCTTGGAGACGTATAGCTACATTCAGACCCATAGGCTTCCAAAGGCTTCTTCAAGTGCCCTTTTCCTGCTTATCTCTAGACTCCACCCTCCAGCTCTAGCAGCCTTCTCAGCTTTTAGTTTCATCGTTTCTTCATCTTCATACTCTAACCCTGGAATTGATCCAACTGGAAGAGGCTGCGTGGGCCGTGGCTGAGCTATACCTCCGGCAACTGCAGGGGCATAGTGCCCTTGTGGACCAGTACTGGACCCTGCCTGAGGACCTAGGCCCAAAGCCTGCAGAAATGAAGAAGAAAAACTTAGTTAAGAATAATACAAAATAATCTGTATGATCACTATTCAAGAAGTGATAGGTCAATATGACAAAGTGTAGAACCAGCGACAATCCAATGGCATTCCTTCCTTTTCCTTTGATCTCATACATTGTTGTGTAGAAACCATCCACTATCCTTTTGTCCTATTCTACTATTTGTAACCTCACTCACTCCATTTTTGAAAAAGCAAAAAAAAGATAATCCTTTAAAAAATAAACTAAAATAGAGTGAATAAACCAACAATCTCTAACAACTTCTTTAAACACTACATGCAAGGTAAATTTCGGAGCTTTCTTTAGCTTATCCTCTCAATAGCATCTCAAGGAAGATGAATGACCTTGAAATTACCGTATTTATCCGACTTTGTTTAATCAGTTAGGTAGAAAGAATTTAGAAGTGAGAAATATTACAGGAACTAATAAGGGCCTGAAGTCCCAAGGATATACTAGTTTTATGCCATTCATGGCATCATCCATATTAGCAAGAGAAGATCATAGTGTACTCAAAATTTGTTCAAACCATGCAAATCAATACCATAGAAATTCCTGTTTAAGTTTATGCAAGATGATCTTGATTTAATTGGTAAGATTTCTGTAATCACTACCACTTTAAATCTCTTCCGCACCATAAACTTTGTCAAGTCTCAAAAAGGATACCAACCGCTGAACTAGCAGTTGCAAATTTGCATAGTAACATTTAATTACTTCTTTCAAGCTTAAATTATCTTCTTAATTTTGTCCAAATGACATTTAAGGCCATATTAGTTGGAGGTACTATTAAAGAAAATGAAGCATAAGAAGCCTAGCTTGACTATTCCAGGACAGATAAACAGTGCAAGAATTTAGGAATTTTTTGAAAAAGGATAGCATTCAGCATACGAAGCCTGCAATATGTATTGCAGGACAGCGACAAACATTGCAGCATTCAGGAATTGAACATATTGGAAAGGAAAGAGGAGAGTGGTGGTTTGACCAATGAGCACGAGATCCAGTGGGAGGAGATCACAGTAGCTTTGGTTGAATGTACCTATATAGGAAATAAGCTGAAAGAGAAATCCCTGAAAGGAGGAGATAACAACACCAAGTTTTTCCACTGCATGGCAAATGTCACCAAAGATGTAATTTTCTTACAAATCATTATCAGGCTTTCTCGGAGCGTAATAAGGACCGGGGAAGATTTCTCTGTACCAACTTGTCAGGAAAAGGAATTCTAGGATATCTAGACACTATATGATGTGAGGGGAAGGGGGAGGGGGGAACACCAGGCCAAAACAATGTTAAGAATCAGCCTGGACAAAAAGGAGCTTGATAAAACTTGTAAAAAAGGTCGAGTGGAACTGTTCAGGTGACAAGGCACCTGGACGAACGATTTCACCCTCGCCCTCAGCAGTGTTCTTTTTTTTAAATAAGGTAACTTGCCTTCAACATGGTTAGGATGTGGTGAAAAATGATGTGATGGAACGCTAAGTTGCTTGGACTCTTCACTTTCGGTGCCACACTTGTGTTGAAACAACGCGTATGTGGGTATGAGTATGAGATCCGATCCGTATAGGATCCAGTCAATCGATTTTTAGAACTTTGACCAAAATGGACAAAGAAATTCGAGACAGATACAGTAATTTCTTAAACCAAAAAAAATTAGGGTGAAATTGAAGAAAATATAATAGCTTGTATATAGAAATTTCTATGTTAGTCCTTTTCCTTTTTATCTCCTTCTCGGATTCTCCTCTTGATTCATATTTTCTCCTTCTTGGGGTACCTTGTAAGTTTTTCACATAATGCCTAATAATTTAGACATATTTTTTTTTGAGTAAGGTAACAATTTGTATTAATATAAAGACTTCACTGAGATTGTGAAGTCATCCATAATTATAATGTGGGTGTCCATACAAAACTAAACAAAAAGGACATTGTTCACCCTTGATCTTCTTACAATGAATCTAGGGCATCTAAGATGGATTCATGATCCTCTAAAAATTTTCCTTTACACCAAAAATAAAAAAGAGCTACACATTTCATCTTTATCCTCTAAATGTTGTTGGAATTATCTTCAAAGCATCTTTGATTTCTCTCTTCCCATACTGTCCACCAAATGCAAGCTGGAATAATTCTCCATCTCTCCGTCTCTCGAAAGTGCTCCCTCTTTATTCCAGCTAGCTAGAATATCAAAGATTCTTCTCGGTATTGCCCATGAGATTCCCCTTAGACTAATGAAAATCCTCCATATCTGAATAGTGAATTTGCAATGCAAAAAAAGATGGTTGATTATCTCTGCTTGATCCCCACATAAGTAACACCTAGAGCACAATTGGAATCCTCTTTTTGTTAAATTGTCTTGTGTTAGGACTACATCTTTTGCCAATAACCATGGGAAGCAAGCGGCCTTATATGGAATTTTGACTTTTCATATCATCTTCCATGGCCAACATCCTATTTGATTATTAGAAATGTTATATTCTTTGTATGCACTCCTAACCGAGAACTTTCCCTGCCCATTCCCTTGCCACATGATAAGGTCTTGGCTTGCATTGGTTGTTCCAAGACCCTATAGAACTCAGTGAGTCTATCAAGCTCCCAATCATTTAACATTCTCCTGAAAGTGAGGTTCCATCCTGGGCTATCCAAACCTCTGCTAAAGTTGCTTGTTGTTATTGATTCAATTCATGAATGTCAGGGAAGAGATTCTTCAGGGTTCCTTGACCTAGCCAGTTATCATTCCATAAAGATACTTTACTTCCACTTCCTACTTTGAACTTTGCCTTGTTAATCACTTTTGGCCAAAGGTTTCTAATTGATCTCCATAAGCTGACCCCATATGGACTTCTCATTGGCTTGGTTGTCCAGCTACCTTCCCTTCCATACTCCTCCCTAATGACCTCTATCCACAATGTTTGGTCTTCTACTGCTAGTTTCGATAGTCACTTCATCATTAGACATTGGTTCTGCACTTGCAAATTTTTTATTCCTAGGCCCCCTGCCTTCTTGCTGGTAGTCAGTTCATTCCACTTCACTAGATGAAACTTCCTTTTCTCAATGTTGCCTCAAAAACGGTATTTGTCAAAAGGCGGCAAGGAAATGCTTATTAAAAGCACTTTATCGAGTATGCCCACATATTACTTGTCCCTGTTGCAAGCGCCGGTGAGCATCACAGAAAAACTGGAGCGGCTTCAAAGGAATTTTCTTTGGGATGCGGTGGATGGAACTAAAAAGTTTCATCTAGCGAATTGGCAAACAATCACTTCCCCAAAAAAGTGAGGTGGACTTGGAGTAAAAGATCTTAGGGTATTCGACAGAGCTTTATTGGGGAAGTGGCTGTGGAGATTCAGGGTAGTAGAGCATGCCCTATGGAGGGAGGTCATAGTAGAAAAGTACGATTCCACGGGAGGGGGTTGGAGGACCAAGGCAATCACAACACCTTTCGGGTGTGGCATGTGGAGGAGCATCATGAAGAATTGGGAAGCATTCAGTGGCAACATCACTTACAGGGTGGGAGATGGGAGGAGAATCAGCTTTTGGAATCATAGGTGGTGTGGAGAGGATACTCTCAGGGTCTCATTCCCTCACGTCTTCAGAGTTTCAAACCAGAAGGAATTGATGGTCCAACAGATTCGTAAGGAGCATGGAGGGGGTAGTATGGGACCTCTCATTTAGAAGGAACATGCAAGATTGGGAGATTGCGGAGCTCCAAGATTTGTTGACACTACTATATGGGCAAGACAGGCCCCGACCATCTTGTGATTCTTGGAGATGGGGTTTGAGTGGTGATGGTTTGTTTACCGTAAAGTCCTTTTACCATAGTATGTTGGTGAGAGAGGAGGCCACTTTTCCATACTCCTCAATCTGGATTCCTAAGGCGCCCACGAAGGTGTGCTTTTATGCATGGTTAGCGGCGAAGGGAGTGATCTTGACTGCTGAAAATCTTAGAAAGAGAGGAATTACACTTGTTAGTTGGTGCTACATGTGTAAAAGCTCAGGGGAAGAAGTTGATCATCTTTTGTTGCATTGCCCTGTGTCCTCGGCTTTGTGGAGGGCAATACTGAATCTTTTTGGTGTTCAATGGGTGATGCCAAGCACTGTAAAGGAGATGTTATATAGCTGGGCCGGTTTCCGTAGAAGAAGACAGCAAAAGGCGTGGAAGTTCGCCCCGTTAGCTCTCATGTGGATAGTTTGGGGGGGAGAGGAAGGAGAGTTTTTTAGGGTATTGAGTCTCCTTTTTCACATCTTAAGAAGAATCTTTTATCTTTGATCGCTTTTTGGTGCACTCATATAGCCCCTACTTGTATAGAAGATTGGGCGTCTTTTGTAAAGAATCATGTTCTGATGTAAATTCTCTACTTTTTTATATACTTCTTGTATATAGAAATTCTCTCCTTTTTGATTAATACAATTTACCTTATCAAAAAAGAAAGTTCCTTCTCATAGCATCAATTCTTTTCACTACATGCAGTGGAGCTGGGAATAAGGACATCATGTATGTAGGCATAGCATCAAGTACTGGGTTGATAAGAGTCAATCTTCCCCCATGGACAGGTATTGATTTTTCCAATTTGCTAGTTTCTTCTCACATTTCTCCAACACATTAGTTCATATGCTTTTTGCCTTACTTTTTGCACCCAGAGGCATCCCCAGATATACGGTTGGCAGCTCCCCTACTTTCCCACCTAGAATGTTGGCCAAGCTTCGGATACTAGCACCTCATTAACTGGGTAGATGAAACTTTTCTGCCAGTTAATGTGTAGTCCAGATACTGCTTCAAATAGGATGAAAATCACCCTCGGTATCTTTACCTGTTCTTTTTCAGCTTCATAAAACACTAAGGTATCAGCGTACTGCAGATGTGATACCCTCGTGTTGCTATTAGCTCTGCTACTCACTTTAAAGCCTCTAATCCATTCATTTGTTTGAGCTACCTTTACCAAGTCATTGAGTCCTTCCATAGCTATAATGAACAAAAAAGGAGAAA